CATTACTTCCTGTAATGCTCTCTTATAGTGTTTCTCAAGAGCGCCTTCATTTCAATAAGAGAGAGCTCGGAAGGCTGATTTATTGTAGAAATCACAACACATGGAATCATTTAGCCTAGTAGCATCTGATAAAAAGTAAAGGTGCAGACACAGTTTTTTGGGATATGAGACATTCAGCGAAGTGATAGACTAGAATCCCTGAGGAGTTTAAACAGTCCTGCGGGTATCATACATTTAATATAATTACCTGTGTGCCTCATATATTCAATGCGAGCATTCGACTGCGGTCTAGAGGATAGGCAATGGTAATTTTCACGTACAGCGATGCCACTGTTTGTAGCTGGAGACAATGTATTCGTAAGTTCTTTTAACTGTTCTGTTCCTGGACAAAAGAGAGCAGAATAAGTTTAATTAAAGGGACACTGGACACAGTCCGATGGAAGTGACACCAGTTTTGTTATGCATAATATAGAAAATGCAGAAAAGTATGTAGAATCACTAAAATAAAACCAAATAAATAAGAAAAACACCATTACGTTCCTGCTGTTGGTGTACCTGCACAAGCACATAAGAGAGAGTCCACCCCAAACCAGGAAAATACTCCACCAATCAGAACCCTCTCATTCTGTTCTATGGATCTATTCAATAAACTTATGTCCAGTAAGATTTATGGACTCATTAGATCTGATTAGTGGAACGGTTGACTAAGCTGAAAAAGTCTTATTGCACTTACAATCAGCCTACTGATGTACAGTCTATTGTAAATGGGGCTGTATATGTGTTGGTCAGGCAACTGTGCTGTGGTTCACTCAGTGGACCAGAGAAGGGATGTGGAGACTTGCACATTGTATAAACATTTGAATAATCAAAGGAGGGATTATTGATTCCGTGGGTGATATTACAGAGAGAAGAAGTAGCCTTACAACTAGGATTTTTGCAAATGCATACCTCCCAACATTTCAGACAGAGAAAGAGAGTCTGAAATTAGAGTTGTGAATGAGGGTGTTTTCACAGGGCGGGAAGTTCTGAGAAATTTTAGGTAACTTAAACTTACTAACAATTTATGCAACTAAAATGTAATTTAGAACAAGAGCAATGTATCCTATTTACACTGATGATTTCTAAACACATTTATTGTAGTTTAAATATTATTATTACTGTTTTACAATAAAACACACCAACAATATGGGACTCCTAGAAAATAAAGGCATTGGGGCCAAAAGAAGGGCAGATTAGGGACTAAAATAAGGACCGTCCCTCCTAAATAGGGACACGTTGTAGGTATGCAAATTGCTTTCAACTTTGTGCTAGGAATGTACTGGAAAATCTGCTTACTCCATAACTTAAACAATGAGCATAGGTTATGATGGTTCTAAAGGAAGTGTATCTTTAATAATATGGTAGTATGAGAATATGGAAACCATCTGTACACCATACAGGTCAAAGTATGATTTTTATGTCAGAGTACGAGGTTTGTCTGGAAAATAACCAGCCATTGTTAATTTAATGAGAACGCTTAACCTTGGAGTCAAGGAGAGTGAACTGGAGTGCGCATGCATGAAGAATGGTAACTTCACTGTATTAGTCAGTGGTGGCGCTACACACCGTTGAATGAGATGTGTACTGTATGGCCATCACATTCAAAACGAGTAGAGCATAACATTTTGTGTTAAGCTTAAACATCCCCCTGCTGAAATTATTTGGATGATTTAGAAGGCTTCCAGGGATGATGAGAGCTGTGCAAATAAAATCATCCAAGTGACTCAACCCCCCCTACAGCCTAGATTTGGTGCCCTGCGACTTCTGGCTTTTCCTAAAACTTAAATGACCTTTTAAGGGAAAAGATTTCAGACTGTCAACGAGATTCAGGTAAATACTAAGAGGCAGCTGATAACAATTCCACCATGGATTTTGCTGAATGTTTTGAACAGTGGAAGAGACGCTGGGAGAACTTTGTGACATCCCAAGATGACTACTGCATTGTCATTGTCCTATGTACAATGTTTCTTGTATCTTAAATGTATCTTAAGTTATTATTATTATTATTATTATTATTTATAAAGCACCAACAAGTTCCGTAATTGGTACATTGTCTCTATTTCTCTATTTGTCTCTATTTCCGGATACTTTCCGGTCCGATCTCGTACAGTAGTGTTAAACATTTAAAAAAACACTGTCTCATTCAAATACCTTTCACATACTGATACCTACAAACAAATCCTTTCTATCTAAATCAGTAACAAAACCAAGAAAAGAGTAGTGGCTCAATTCTTCTGTCCACCTAGAATTACCAGACTCATCATATTTTCCTGGACTGGACCACATCATGCTAATGGGCAGCAAATGACAAGTGATGCCTAGCAACTGGAAGAATTCATGTAGTGCAAGAGGAAAATTAGTTAACTGAGGCAGCTCCATTGGAATCTCTTGTTTATTAACCAATTTATTGCCTGCACGTATGAATTTTAAATACAGCTAAGCAGCAAACTGACTCAAGAAGCCCGGGATAAAATTATGAATCTTACCCATTGAACCCAATAGCTACCCATTGTCTTATAAACACAGGGTTGTTGTTTTTTTTGCACGTTTAAATTTGATTAAAAAAAACTAATTTAAAAACAAAATTAAAACATATTCTGCATGATTTTTGGGTAGTGTCACATGTTCTCCTTTTAGTTCCCTGGTGTCCCTCTTTTGGGGGCACCAAGAAACTGTCCCCAACAAGCACAGTGTGAGCACATCATAAGACGCATTATGTTAATGACACTATTACTCTCAGTGGGCTGGCCATGCAGCATCTGCCAGTGAATGGATGGGTGCACCCCCTCTCTTGGTGGACTCGCCCTTTGGGGACCGAAGCAGTGATGCAATCACAACACTGACCTACCTCTTCTACCTTCTCCTACTGACATTCTATGGATGACATAGTTGGGAAGTATGATACAGCTGGAGGTATGCCATCTCATTTTACACTGATAACTTTAAATATTGTATAAACTATTCATAAATATAGTGTTTTACAAATGGTGGTGGTAGTTTGGGATTCTACACAACCAAAACAATGTAAAGATCCTTGCAATTATTTATAATCGAGATATTTGAGCATTTGTATTGGTTATATTCTTTTTTGACATACTGTATGACTTAAAGCGACACTCTAGGCACCAGAACTACTATACCTTAATGCAACAGGCTAAAACTATAAAGATTTAGGCATGCAAAAAATACAGCATTGTAATATGACCAAAATATATCAAATGAAGTAGAGTTGTATTGGTGCCCAGAGTGTCCTTTTAATGTGTGCACGAAGACTGTCTCTGCCAGCTCAGCAGAGTAAACACTGTCTTTTTAGGAAAAAAAGGTAGTGTTTACATTGCTGCCTAGCACAACCTTTAAAAGGTTGTGATTTGGACAGCCACTAGTGTGGCTTACTAGATGTTTGTAAAGGATTGACGAGCACCCCGACTTGGTACCTCCGTTGAAGGATGCTTCTAGTGCTTCCTGAGGATTTCCAGCACTCCAGCAGACACCATAACCACCGTAGACTCCTTCAAAGAGCAAAACAGGAACAAGCTCATACAAGAGCTTAGCAGCGAATATAGCAGGAGAGTATGCAGAGCATAGCAATCTCTTGTAGCAGATTCCCCCAATAAGAGACAGCACTCCAAATTGAGGGTGAAGTAGAACTGAACTTTTAATCAAACACTTTGCTTTTATGCACATTTCGCACACATAGTACTGCCACAGGGTTTTGAAGAACAACCAATAAAACACATACATTACAGTAAAACACTCCCAGCAATTACACACAAATCATCCCCTCTGCCTGTGATATAATTACTGAACACAATGGGTTAAAGTAATTATCACAGGCAGGAAAAATACACTTTTTATACATTTACTGTAACTTTAAAAATATACATTCAATCTTCATAAAGTTACATATTATTAATCAGCACACTCAAAATACAAACATACCCAAAAATCATACAATTCCCTCCAGTAGTTCAAAAGTTCCCTTTTTGAACGAACGCACGCACGTTTTCATGCCCAAAACAGTTCCAGAGATTCAGGCTGTACGGCCGGTCTATTTCCCATGTTAAAGTCAGTTCAAACAGACGAACGACAACCATTTGAATTGTCGAATTAACTGTCTAACGGCGTTCGATTTGTCGAATGCATTGAAGTCTGGAGAAGGTAAAACTCCAGCTGAATTAAAATGGCTGCCGCCACGTGTTCGGTTTTCGAATGGCGGCCACTTCGACTACTTCGGCACTTCGACTGCATTCGAAGTGCCAGTTTAAAAGTACAGATCCTTTCCCTGGGTGTTAAAGGGCCAGCAGCACAATAAAAATCCATTATGCCCAAATACAGTTCTTAAAGGGCCATACACAGTCCAATACAAGTCCATAAGCCCCAAATCAGTTCCTTAAAGGGCAATACATCCCAGGGGCCATAGTCACATGGCAGGAGGCTGGCAACCAATCTTCTCCAATGCCCAGTGGCGAGCCTTTTGTGTTTCTTGTCCTCTTTTTTTTTATTCTTTATTTTTGTTGTGCCAAGTACAACAGAGATTATACAGTATGCTCTATTGAATCTACATAGAAATAACAGCACATGAGGTAAGGTGTATAATGGAAATCGGCACATTTTTTAAAAAGGGAACAGTTAAACATGAGGGGCCCAGTGCAGGTAAGATATAACAGTTTAGATGCTATCATTTAGGGTAGGCATAGGCAAGCATTCCATGTGTAAGAGCATTATGGGGTATGTAGTCCAAAACATTTGGAGTGCCGAAAGTTGCCTATCCCTGATGTAGGCTGCACTAAAGGTAACTGAAAGTGATTATGCCCTGGGAGGCCTTCCAGATGAGTTAGTAATGCTTTTCACTTGGGGATATCAGGGAGTGCATGCTCAAGCAGTAAGTATAGAGCCTGGAAAACATTGCATAGAGAGAAACAGAGATACTGAAGTTTCCACCGCTCAGCTCTGAAGTCAACCTATGCCAGTCTGGGGTAGTCTGAGACATAGTCTAGCCACGAGAGTCCTAGGGTCAGGTCTAGTATCCCAGCAAGTGTAAAACTTGTGATCGTTAATGATGTTGGGGTACTGCGTGGTTCGAGGTACAGTCGTCTTTGGAGCCTCGATTCGGGCTGCTGTAGGTAGCAGGGTTTATGGTGAGTCGCCAGTTGCTTGTGCTGGTGCCTAGCTCCATCCGCACTTGGTCGTTTAGGTTTATGTACCAGCTTGAGGTGTTGCCCCCTTCGCTGCCATTTTCGAGCTCTGTTCCATTTGGACTCTGCGTGTCTGCGGTGGAGCAGTGAAGACAATGCCTTTAGAGAGTGGTGATTTGCTTTTTGCTTGGCAGTCTGCTGCTGTCTTAGTGACAGTTTCTCCCAAAAGTCGGCAAATATTTTGTCTAACCTGGACTCAAAGTTGAGCTTCATGTTACAGTTTTCAGGGTAACACGTGGCCTCCGTCATTTTGTGTTCCTCCAAGTCGGCAGTATGTATGCTTGCCCTTATCCTTTGGGCCCGACACAGGGTTGCCACCCAGGTTTGGACCGGGATCACCCCCACCGGTCCAGGGGGGGAAGGGATGGAGGATCTGCTCTGTTGGTGCTAGATCATGGAGAGCAGCCACCTCTCCACGGCTCCGTTACCAGCAGGCCGCAGTAAGCCACCATAGGCTCCAGTGTGCAAAATTACTCAGGAAGAGTATCAGGAGGTTCACCCAAGCACACCTAATGTAGGTGGTGCACTTGAGTGTGAGGGTAAGCTCTGTAAGCCACATTTTGCCTGAGAATTCTGCCATTTTTCTGGGAGCCCTTACAGCATGCGTCTGTTCAGATAGGTCAGGCTCTGTTTGTCTCTTGCCCCCAGCAGCTTGTCTCATTCACCTCCCAGCCCTTCTGTGTCTTTGTTCCCCCAACCCATCTGGTCTTCTCCCTCCAGCTTCTGTCTGTCTCTTTTGCCCCTTCCCCAGCACCTCTGTTTCTATTTATCTCCCTCCAGCCCCTATGTTTCCCTCCCAGAGCCTTTTGTGTATTTCTTTCTCCCCTTCATAGCCCCTCTGTGTGTCTATTCACCCCAGTATACTGTCTCTTGCTCCTCCAGCTGCTCTTTTTCTTTGTGTCCTTCCAATCCCAGTGGGTGTCTCACCCATCCTCTGTCTGTCTCTTTTGCCCCTTCCCAGACCTTTTGTGTCTCTTTGTGTCCCCCAATCCCTCTTGGTATCTCTTCCTCAAAGCCCCTTTCTTTTTCTTGTGCCCCTTCCCTTGTCTGCCTCTTTCACCTTTGTCCCCCCTTTTGCTCTCATGTCCCGGCATGCTGTGCCTTCTCACCTTCCTGTGTAGCATGGAGTGGGCCATTGTAGTGGATTCTGTTCTGTTTCCTCTACTAAGCCTGACAAGAACCTGCTTGGCACTCTCTGTGGGCACTTCCTGTGAACCAGGTAGAGTATATAGAACTCCTCTACCACGGTCCGCTTGGACACACTGCAATGACTGACCCTGTGCCGCCTTATGGTTGTGCCGACCCTGGCAGGAAGCACTCTAATGTTAGGCATACATGTTTGAATTCCTAATGTTACAGTGTTCCTTTAAACATTAAATGTCTTCCTGAAAACCATCTCTTTTCCTAAACATTTAAACGCAATAATATATAGATATCTTATCTCATATTATTGATAATATAGAATTGCTCTTGCTTTATTTACCCCAGGTCAATATTTAATCAGTGAGGTAACATTTAATATACATTTGATTATTCAATGCATGCTTGGGGACTGCTGTAGTTGTTCTGTGTATGCTCAGTGACAGTAGCTGCTCTGTGGATGCTCAGTGACGGTAGTAACATAGTAATGATAGTTGCTCTGTGGATATTAGTGATGGTAGGTCCTTTGTGGATGCTTAGTGATGGTAGTTTCTCTGTGGATCTGAGTGATAGTTGCTCAGTGGATCTGAGTGATAGTTGCTCTGTGGATCTAAATGATAGTAGTTGCTCTGTGGACTCTTAGACTGGTCTATGGCTACTTTATTAATTCTATTTGGATACTCCATGTGTTTTCCATGGCTATTCTGTAACTGCTATATGATACCTTTATGGCTGTCTTTTTGTCTGCTCTGTTTTTTTATGATTGCAATTCTTTGTTTAATTCCTTACTGTTCTTTTTAAATAAATAACATCAACTCCTTGTAGAATTTCAAAAGATAAGATCATAATGTCACAATGTTTTTCTTTTTGCCACCTGCAAGTGACAGCTCTGACATAGTATTCTTGTTTACCAAATGCAGCCTGCGGTGTGGTCCCTTCCGGGGGCTGAGGCCCCCTGTATTTCGCACCTGCAGTTTCAAGAGACGTTCGACCTTCAACATTTATCTTGACGATCACACAGGATAAAGATAAACCTTAATTTCATCCACATAGAAATAAAAAAATGCACCTATATGTCTGTCTACCTGACTTTTATCAATAGCATTTTCTTCTTTGCTGTAAAATCAAAAGGACATTTTAATTTCTGGCTACCTAAGGGTGATGATAGTAGAAAGCTTGTACATTTTTTAAACTCTCCACCCACACACTATTCTAAATTATGATTCTATGTCAAATACCCGTATGCACTTCATGGGTAAGTAGGTAGTTAAATGTACAGTTTCTATTAGAAAAACATGAATATCCACTGCTGCTTAAAGGAATACTCCCACCCGTATAACAACTTTCATCATTTAAAAGGGCATTATAGTCATCAAAATAGCTTTAGCATAAAGGAACACTATACGGTCAGGAATACAAACATGTTGTCCTGACCCAATACTCACCCCCCCCCCCCATCACACCCCTGCCCCTCCCCCTGCCCCTCTTAAATAAGTAGTTTACTTATCGTACTGCAGCACTTGATGGATCTGCCAGCGCTGGCCCTGCCTCTGATCCACCTACTTGGCTGACATCAATAGAAATGATTACTTCAGCCAATTCATTGGTTTTCCATAGGAAAGCTTTGGATTGGCTGAGATTGTTAATTCTGATGATTTCAGCCAAGAAAGGGGTGCGGGGGCAAAGCCAAATGTAACCCTGACCAATCATCATATCCTCATGGAGATGCATTGGATGGGGAATATTCAGCATCACGTTGTGCAGCACTGACCCAGGAAGCAGCACCGTCTGAGTGACTGCCACTGGAGGTGTCCCTAGGCTGTAATGTAAACATTGCAGTTTCCCTGAAAAAACTATCCCTGAAAAGGCAGTGTTTACAGCAAAAAGCCTGCAGGGACTGGCTATACTCACCAGAGCAATATAGTTGTTCTGGTGACTACATTGTGTATAGATCATGCACCTGCAGTCTCACTGCTCTAATATCTGCCGTTTAGGAGCAAAATCACTTTTTTTTCTGTTTAAGCAGTCCTAGCCACACCTTCCCTGGCTGGTACTGATACAACCATGCATACAAATTTATTTATTTTCAAAGAGCTGTTAACTTACTTTTGAAGCTTTTATTACCTGCTCTGTAAATTGAACTTTAATCACATACAGGAGGCTCCTGTAAGGACTAGCAAGATAATAACAGAGTAGGAAATATGAAATTCTAAATTAATCAGACTGTGCAATAAAAGAAGTTTAAACATTAGTTCTCACTTTACAGGAAGTGTTTAGGAAGGCTGTTCTATAAGACGAGACAGGGGGGATATGATAGAAACATTTAAATATATAAAGGGAATCAACACAGTAAAGGAGGAGACTATATTTAAAAGAAGAAAAACTACCACAACAAGAGGACATAGTCTTAAATTAGAGGGACAAAGGTTTAAAAATAATATCAGGAAGTATTACTTTACTGAGAGGGTAGTGGATGCATGGAATAGCCTTCCAGCTGAAGTGGTAGAGGTTAACACAGTAAAGGAGTTTAAGCATGCGTGGGATAGGCATAAGGCTATCCTAAATATAAGATAAGACTAGGGACTAATGAAAGTATTTAGAAAGTGGGCAGACTAGATGGGCCGAATGGTTCTTATCTACCGTCACATTCTATGTTTCTATGTTTCTATGTTTCTATGTTCAATTTACATGCGGTGGTGGAGGTGTGACTAGTGCTGCATTAACAAAGTGATTTAACTCCTAAATGGGAGAGAATTGAGCAGTGAGACTGCGGTAGCATGATCTATACACCAAAACTGCTTCATTAAGTTAAAGTTGTTTTGGCGACTATAGTGTATCTATAAGTGAGCTGAAGTTGTTGGGTTGGAGTTGAAATTGAATGTTTGGGCACCATCTTACTTTAAGGATTCAAAATATTTTGAAATGGTTAAACCCCAAAGCTGAACTCTGGAGATTGACACTGCTGACCCTCCGTAACCCTAACAACAGTCCACTCTTTTATGGACTGGCTGGACAGTCTATATTTTAGTTTTGTTCCCTGGTATCCCATCATTAGACGCATTCGCTCTAGGTTGAGGAAGCCAGGACCATGCAGTGAGCTGAAACCATTCCAGTTTGAGGTCCTCCCTTTAGGTGCCATCTGTGATATGATTTAGTCACTGGCACAACTTCCTTTTACCATGGCTACACTTTCCATATGCTGCTGAGGAAGGACATCAGAAAGCACAGATGTCCTAACTTCTTGGTTAAACCATTGCACAATTATTTAATCTCACAATGTTAGACATTGCACAAACACTTCTACCCCCATTACAACTGAATGTCGGGAATAGTATTACCCTAACACGCAAACCTAATGGAAACATTAAAGGAACATGTACCGGCCCTTAGAGTGGCCAGGTTAGTGCCTGAGACAGATATATGAAATGTCTGCAAGCAGACAGAGAATAAACGAGAGACAAGCCGAGGTCAGGATAACAGAAATACATGGAAGTGATAGCCAGGCCAACATCAGGATAACAGAGAGCAAGAATAGTCAAACAAGCCAAGATCAGAAAACAGGAAATCCAATACACAGTATAGCAAGAACCACGACAGGACAAAGAAACAAGGACAACCAGGAAGTATATATACATATACTGGGTTGTGATTGGTCACAAAAGACCGTGTGACGGTTGCCCCAGGCTAGCTGAGCGTTGGACCGTTGAAGGAAGCTCCTAGTGCTTACCAAGGATCATCAGCACCACACCAGACACCATAAGCACTGCAGACCCCATGAACCGCCGCTGCTTGGTTGGGGTCTCGCTGTTTCCTACTCACCCTGGACCTATGACAAGGCTCCATGTTCCAGTGGGTGAACCTCTCTTTCCCTAGAGGGTGAGGCAGGAACAGGAACAAACTCTTACAAGAGCTTAGTGATTATTTAAGGGAGTATGAAGAGCAATCCCTTGTAGCAGATTCCCCCCAATAAGAGACAGGACTCTAGATTGAGGGTGAAGTAGAACTGAAGGTTTAATGGTACAGCTGCTTCTTTTATACAGAATTTCCCCATGTGAACCTTGTGGGGCACAGGACATAAAATGCACAATCCAATAATAACAGAGTTTTAC